CTGCGTGCCCTGCAGGCGACCTGGACGCTGATGAGTGTCCAGGTTCTGTGGGAGTCAGGCCTTTATGCGCTGCAGGATATGCCTCTCGAAGCATCTCATGACTGCTGACATTAAGGCGACAGGATTGTAGTTGTTGAAACACTTTGGGGCAGATAACTTTGCCACAAGAGTGATGGTTGCTGTCTTCAGGCAACCTCATTGTGACAGTGAGGTTGAAACTCCTGGTCAGGCACAAAGTACTTTATCAAGTACTCTATGTGGGCCAGGAGTTTTCCTGATGTTCACAGCTTTCACCACCTATCTCACCGGGTGTTCCTGGAAGACAAGAGCAGCGCTGGTGGAATCAGGAGGCAGCTCAGCTGTGTCCGGGCTCTTCAGCAAGAGAAGTTAAAGCACTTTTAGTATTACTATCTACTCGGATCGGCTCGACGTGGCACAACTCACCTCGTTTTCCATTACAATTGAGTTACAGAAACAGTATGATGCAACACGAATGCCACAACAAAGGTGGACATCGAGCCACAATATGGCTGCTGCCCGGTCTGTGACTCTGTGTCACCACGGCGTTGTGTTTTATAGCCACTTCCCTCATTACCGGGTTTCAAAACTGGCACTTTTGATTTTCGTGAAGGAGACGTTCTCATGACTCACCGAGTGATGCCACTAACTATCCAATCACTAGGATGAAGTCTGTTGATGTCACATTTTCAGATTCGCCTCGGATCACTTGGAACCCGGGCGAGCAGATACGAAAAAAGTACCAGCTACTATATCCTAATGGAAAACGCTGAGAACTATGGCATGCCGACCCGAGTAGGTACTAATGGAAACGGGGCGTAATTCTTCTGCCAGCGTGGTGTCAGCGGGGTGGTGACGGGTGTGGACCCTCTGTAGTTGGTGATGGTCTGTAGTCCCTCCCACTACAGAGCATCCACAACCCTTCCAGTTTCGTTTTGTGAGCCTCTTTTGCACCCTTGATGGCTCTCCACTGCTCTGCCCTTGCTACACTGTATTGAGCTTTGTCCCCTGACTTGCAGGCTGAGTTCCATTTCGTCATCGGAGGTCATTCAAGGTTTTTGGTTTGTATTGACCCGAGTACTTTTGCCCACTGTTACATTGTCAGTGCAGCTCTGTCTCTGTGTACTCCTGAAGGTCATGATGAAAACGCTCCACTCACTGCTGTCTAAGAAATCTTACAGTCAGAAGAGAACTCCCTCAGGACAGGTTTTAATGTCTTTAATGGGAGGTTTGGATCTTTTCCTGATACCTCCACATGTATGCTGGTATCAGAAGTATTGATAAGTGATCTGACAGTTCCAGATTAGGGAGGGGTAGAGTCCTGAAGACTTGCTTAAATACAGTGATCTCATTTATTCGTTCTTCTGATGAAGCACTGTATCTACTGTACAAAGTCAGGGAGTACAGACTGAAGACAAGCCTTGTTGAAGTCCCCAAAAAGCTCCCTCAGGATGGGCCTGCAGCTGTTTGTGTATTATATTGTACAGCTGGAAGAGCACCGTGTTAACATTAACATCAGGTGGTATGTTCACTGCAGTGATGATCATAGAAGGGTCTGCACATGCATTTCCCAGTCCAGGAAGCATGAGTGTGATCCTACTGTTCATGCACCTCTTTGTTATGATGTGGTCAGCTAGCTGAGCAGCCAAGTCCAGAGAGAGTGTAGCATAGCTCCACAGTTAGTAGCTTCAGTCTGTCGATTCTGTGGGAGATGGACCTCGCGCTGGTAAGGAAGACGCTCAGAAGTGAAAGGAGCTGTTTCCGTAGTCGTGCTATTAGGCTTCCTCTGAGAGACACAGCAAACCTTCAGGAAATGACACATCAAGTGCAAACCCGGAGGAGCTGGACTACCTCTGTGGGGTCCATGTATCACCTCAGTGGTGACACTGATCCAAAACAAATGCTTGTTGCCCCTCTAAGTGTTGTTAATTTAATTAACACCAAAGAACCAAACAAACAACCCCTCTGCTACTTAACTCACGTCATGCTATACTAAATATATTTTAAAATGTTACATACATTTTTTGAGCAGTGTATTTGAAGAAATGTTTGTGTTGCAACAAATGTAACTGTAACAGTCTCTGTCTTTCAGTGGTAATGGTTCTGTCGACACTATAAAGTACAGAGGTTTAAACTGTGGCTCACACCTACCCAATCCACACAGGTCTGAACTGTTTTTTTCAAGCAAATAATCTAAATTGAAACTGCACCAATTTGATGGACCTTAAGCCCATCAAAAATCCCAAAGGGACTTTTGAGATTTTTCACTGCTTCTGACAGACGAATTCACTCAAAAACAGAGAAAATCCCACCAACAAACTGATCAGATGGATCAGACCAGACGCCTAATAAGGCTCAGCCAGTGACAGGAAGGAAAGAGGGCGAAAAAGGGTAGAGCTTAGCAGTTACTAAAGTTTAAGTGCGATCATTGTGGATGAAAACAAGGAGAGAGAAAAGCAGCGAGTGACAAAATGCTCAGTGCCGTCTGAGACTATGGCCGCATCAACTGGCCAAAACTTTTTTAAGCCTAGTCTTTAAAAAAAAGTAAAAAATTTCGCGACTCCGATTCCATTATCGATATCACTCATGGATTCATTTCCTTTTAGGTCCTCTTATCAGTTCTCACTGGCTCCGCTTTGAAAGTTGCCACCATTGCTAAACAGCATATCGAAGTAAATATATACGTGCAGATTAACTGCATGTTGTGTGGTCAAATGTTTGTGCATGATGGAGGTACTTCCCCTCTTTGTTGGGCTCAGTGTGGGAAATACTGTTAGCGAATGCAAACACATATTACACAAAGCACTTTTCTTAAAAGTAATGTAATATGCACACACGTGATCTGTCTCTTAGTGATTACATCTGAACAAAAATGCTAGAAGCACAAAGACACTATCCACAGTGAACAGTTAGAAATCAAGGCTTCAGTCTGACTCCTCCCCCTGTTTATTATCTGTTCTGAGGTCGTCATTCACTCAGCTTTAACCTCACTCTGGGTTCTTTGCTAGCTTATCGTTAGCTTGCTGTCTGTGCAGGTGCTAGCAAAGAGCTAAAGTTCTGTTAGCAGTATAATGCAGATGTTTCTGTCCTGGGTGCAGTCTGCAAATTACCACTGCACTCTCGCCCTTTTGTACAATAAAAGTATTGTCCATGTGTGGCACCGTTTTCCTCCGAAGCTACACAAACCCTGCTCATTGTAGCACAAATGTGAACGCAGCAGACTAACAATTCAAAGGAATTTGAACATGTCAACTTTAAAAAAAACAGTGTCATGATTAAAGTCACCTTATAAACATGAAACAAGGTCTGTATGCAGTGAACAAAACAAACACTGGTCACTGCCCCACTGATCTGGATTCATTTGTAACGTTGTCATTTAACCCATTTGTCTGGATCATGTCTAGTAATGGGTAATAGATTACAGAAAGTAATCTTTGAGGTATTTTAGAAATGGGCTCGTCACATAGTTTGTCCAGCAGAGTGTGCCCTACTCCACTGTTTAAACTTTAAGCACTGACTGAACATTTAACTGTGATTTACAGTGTATGCACAAGTATTCACAGAGCTTCACTTGTTCCAAAATGGACTGAATTCATTAATCCGGTCGTTAAGTCTGACGTCACTAGCCGTATCTGGGTCTAAACTCCGCTGCAGGTCCATATATCAAACG